CAGAGTTTGTGAAAGTGTTATTGGAAAGGATGGATGATATTCACCATCAAGTGCATTCAAACTTGAAAACGTCTGCTGATTCAATGAAGTTATTTTATGATAAGAGATCTACTGAGGTCAGCTTTGTACCAGGAGACAAAGTGTGGTTGTATAATCCCAGGAAGACCAAAGGGAAGTCTCCTAAGTTGTCTTTTCCATGAGAAGGCCCATATGACATAGTGGATCGTCTCTCAGACGGGACTTTCCGAATAAAATGTGGTCGGCGAGGTAAGCCAAAGGTGGTGCATGCCAACAGGCTTTGACGTCATTATGGTCCAGGACATTTCAACGGAACAAATGACGCTGCTGAAGACATGTCACCTGGAAAAGCCACTGTCGAAGAAGAAACTCTTCTCGGTTTTGAGAAGGGAAACAGCAAAGCCCTTTATGAAGTTACTACCACTGATGTGAACTGTTACCAATGATAGGACGTTTCCTGATGAAGCAGATGAACCCCACATGAACAGACGCCAACAAGACGGAGACCAGTACGGAAGAAGATACGTCCCATAAAATTAAGAGACTTTGTTGAATTGTAATTTTGTGTTTGTAATTTTGAACATTTTAATTAAGTTATTGTTATTGGTTTATTGTATGTGGTTATTGTTCGGGACGAACAATACTAAGGAAGGGGCAGTGTTGTGTCAGCGAGGTCACGTGACTAGTGTCACGCCACGTTTCTAGAACTATCCTGTACCTTCTTGAATGCCCTAGCATTTACTAGATATATGTTAGTCTGGTATATATATAAGACGCTCACAACGTGAGAAGGACAATGTGTGTGTTGGTAGTGAGTAATTGAACTGCAGTCAGATAGTATTGTTGAAGTTGAGCACGTTCGTTGTTATAGCGTTTGTTATAGAGCGACTGTTGAAAATAAGTGTATCGGTAAAGTTATATTCAGAAAGAATAAACCAGTTTTATTAAGTAAGGACTTGTGTCGCTAAAGTTTCGTCGGAACGAAGTTACGGAAAATCAATTAACGACTGGAGGCGTAACAATAGTTTCAGCAACAATAACAGCTGTACAGCTGACAAAGTCGTGAAAACATAGTTCCAAGAATAATACACGTCGTTTTTTTATCTTAAAAGTATATCACTTAAGTTCGGTTTTTATATGTTAACTACTTTAGACAAAATAGTTTGAAAATGTTTGTTTAACTAGAAAAAGCTTATTATATTGAAATTCCTCGATTATAAATAACATATTTATGGAAAAATTTTGCTTTACAATTTTTGAAAGATGTATGTTTTATTAAAACTGATCATTGAATTTGTAAACGTTTGTCTCTGTTTACAGCCCTGAACACAAAAAACACGTTAGTAAAGAAACAGGTGTTTGAGCTTCTCTCAGCGGTCTGTGTTTATGCTGAAAAAGGTCACATTTTGGCAATTGACGCCTTAGAAAACTATAAGGTTCGTAAAGTTTTCGATATTTTGAATAAATTGTAAACGTGTACATACATCTCTGCTTTCTCTCTCTATTGTTTTACCAATATACATATATCTATATTTATTTAGAAAAGCTGAAAACTAAAAAAGAGAATACATCGTAAGGAAGGTAGTGTGAATGTTACACAGCAAATCCAAACCTGAGGTGAAATATAGTTAATTGTAAATTCATGTCAGAGAGAGAGAAAAACCGCATCCTCTTTACCAACATTCAACACAGGGGCAAAAACAATAAGGTTGGTCATTATGTTATGTGCCCTGGTTTTTAGAGGTACTGGCGGAAGGAAGATCCAAATTACATTGGGGTACACCGTCTATCCAGTTTAACCTCAAATTAGCCGGCCTCATCTGATTAAAAAGAGGAAGAAAAAATTTAACAAATATAGGTGCTCTAACCCACAACAAACTAGGCCACAATATCTAACCCACAACAAACTAGGCCACAATATCTAACCCACATTAAACTAGGCCACAATATCTAACCCACAACAAACTAGCCCACAATATCTAACCCATAACACACTAGTCCACAATATCTAACCCACAACAAACTAGCCCACAATATCTAACCCATAACACACTAGTCCACAATATCTAACC